AAATCATCCCCAGGGGCTGGCCACGCCACAATCCATTCTCCTCTCGGGATCTTGGGCACACACGCACACACGCCTGGTGTGAATTTAAGCCACCAGGTTCGGGACTCGAACCACGGTCAACTGCATGGGAGTTCAGCAACAAAGCCATTACAATCACTGCTGGTCCCAGCCGGGTTTAATTTTTTAAGCCACTGTGTCCAGGACTTAAACCACATTTGGCCGTGTAGGAGTCCAGCACATGCAGTGATTTTTAAAAGTTACTATTCTCAAGTATACCAGGGATGCAAACCAAGTAGAGATTCCAAATCCACTTTAACCAGAGTAGTTCAAAAATCTTTAATGAAAAAGTTCAAAACCAGTCCAGCCACAATAACACAGGCTAAGATACTGTGCCCCACAGGATGAGAACACATAGGAGCTTAGGTTCGATTTCCTGTCCAACTTAAAGGCTGGGTACAGAACTGTACCCATAATCCTAGTGATTCAGGAAGGCTGAGGAAAGTGGATTGAAAGCTCAAGTTCTGCCTGGCCAAGATGGGGAGTCCCTGTTCGGAAAAGGGCCAAATATGGTGGTACCCACTTATAGTATAGTCCCAACTGGGAGGCTGAGGCAGGAGGAGAACATGGTTAGATTCTTTCTTAAAAAAAATTCAAAATTGCAATGTTTTGGGCATCCTCTCCTGGTATCTACTAAGGAACGATGAAATCAGGGTTTCAGGCCTTATCCAAGGCCCAATTCTAGCTGGTGACCTTAATCTAAGTCTGATTTTCCTTACTTATAAATGCAGGTAAATATCTACCATGCAATGCTGTGGACAGATTAAATAAAATAACCTACATAAAGATACTACTACAATGCTCGGCACATATTACTTTTAAAAAAGTGCTATTATTATATTATCCAGCAGTCTTTTGGAATTATAAAGTCCAAATGAAAGAAAAATTAAATTATAAAAACTCAAGAAAAATCAAGGACCAGCAGATGGTATAATAGTTATGTTATTGGACTCCCATGTAGTCAAGCATGGTTCAAGTCCCAGACCTAGAGACTTAAAACTCATGCTCGGTGCATGTGCATGCATGCCCAAAATCCTGAGAGGAGAACAGATGAAAAGGGATTGTGGTGTGGCCATCCCCCCTGGGGGATGATTTCTCACTTTCTATCTCTCTATCTCTGTCTCTCTAGCGAGCGCACGTGCCCTATAGCAAAAAAAAAAAAAAAAAAAAAGAGTGACATCTCTGTGTGCAAATGGTACTGACATGTGTATAAGTCTCTCTCCTCATATCCTGAATTTCGACCTGGGATGACTGCGGAGCAGAAGGCATGTTTTCTGGGAAGATCTAAACCGACTAAACCCCACCTATCCCCTGCCCTCTGTCCTTCTCCCAAGTGGTAAAACATTACCTGGGTACATGGTGATCCCTACCCTGGGACCCTGAATTATGACTTAACTAACAGTAAAATTTCATTGGAAAAAAAAAATCACAAATTCAAAATCAAAGGTAAGAGATAATGAAAAACAGCTGAAAGGGTAAGTCACACAAGAGAGTCAGGGAACAGGCCCAATCTAAGAGACAAATGGGGTAGGGGAAAAAAAAGAATAAAGCAAGTGAGTAGGAGAAATAAAGATGAATGCTTTGAAACTGGTAGAAGGGAGAATTCATAAATCAAGACCAGGGGGTAAAGAAAGACCAAATCCTAGAGTATTTGTAAAGGAATAAGATATATGAATCAAATTAAGTATTCCCAGGATGACAACTACAAACCCCAAAAAACGCAATGGGTATCAGAAACGAGACTCAGGATGTAGTCTTTAGAGGCCCTATCACCAGGTTTCTACAGTGCCACTAAGTATTAGGAAGATAGCTTCTCATTTATTAAGAATATTTCTTCTGACTTTGTTTACCTTTTTTTTTTTTTTTTTGAGAGGTTTTCGCTAGAGAGCACGTGCGCTCACCAGAAAGACAGAGACAGAGATAGAAAGCAAGAAATCACCTCCCGGGGGGATGGCCACGCCACAATCCCTTTTCCTCCATTCTCCTCTTGGGATCTTGGGCACGCACGCACACGCGCCTGGCGTGAATTTAAGCTGCCGGGTCCAGGACTTGAACCACGGTCAACCAAATGGGAGTCCAGTGACATAGCCATTACACTAACTGCTGGTCCCAACTCTTCGTTTACCTTATAGAATATAGTCTTCTCTAAGTCTCAGGTTCTTCAACATGATGAGATGGTAAAATGAGATAATTTTTAAGTTCTTTTCCAGCTTTATCATTCTAGAGGAAAAAACAATCTACATTATCATTAACATGAGACATAGGTGAGTCTCATGTACCAATAGGGAAGTAGAAACAAAAAATACAGAAAAATAAACCACTTGAGCACATAAAATGCACCAACACATGTTCTTCTCTTTACAGTATTATGAGAACGATGCATCTTTCTCTCTTTTATTAAAAGAATTATTTTTTATTTAACTTTATTTATTTATTCATTTGTTTAATTCAGTTTGATTTTTAAGGGACAGAGACAGAAAGAGAGAGAGAGAGAGAGAAAGTGATAAAGCAAGTTTACAGGTCCAGGACTCGAACGCAGTCCATCCTGTGGGAATCCAGCACCTTTAACCACCCACCACGCCACCGGCCAGCCCTCAAGAATGATGCATCTTTCTAAAGAACTTCCTTTTGCAGGATAACCAGTTAGCCTAAATCAAAAAGACCAAAGCATCTACTTAAAAAGGATAAGATTACTAACAACTACACATTTTCTGATGAACAGATTTCTCCTTTATTTTTGCTTGTTTTTTTTCCCCAATTCTTCCACTTTGAAAAAGTTGTTCTGACAAAGTGAAAAGCTGAACTCTAATTAAACTTAGCTGGAACATATATAATTATTAAAAGTCTAGTATGTTTATGCATTTGTACAAAGAATATTGGTGTACTTAAAGTTCAAATTTTAGCTTAAGGAAGCAACTAAGATACATGCCAACAATTAATATTACTGTAATTTTGTACTCCAGGTTAATGCTCCCAAATAATCTGGTAAGAGCAGTTTCCAAATTCTCTTTATTCGTGTTATAGTCTAATTTATCTGTCTCCTAAAGCCAAAACAATCTTGACTATATTCGATAAGTAGCCTTCTATCTCCTCTTCCTACTGTGTATCCATCAACCTATCATCTATCAATCAAAAGTTTTCCCAATCTTCTACCGTGTATCATAGTTTCCACTTCAATTCTCAAGTTTCCTTCCCTGTTTTTTTCCAATCACTCTCACTATCCCTCTACATCACTGTTTTAATTTACAAGGTTCTCTCTCTTTGTTCCTAAGACCTATTTTCTCTTAAACATTTTCTTAAATTTATTTTATTTTTACTTATTTATTGTTATTCTTCCATTTGACCAGAGAGAGACAGAGAAAGAGAGGGAGAGGGAGAAAGCAAGCCATCATCAGGTCTGGGACCATAGTCAGCCATACAGTGCCTTAACCACCCTGCCACCTGCTGGCCTCCAAGATTTTTTTTGAGAGATTTTTGTTATAGGGTATGTGCGCTTGCTGGAGAAACAGGGAGAGACAGAGAGACAGAAAGCAAGAAATCATTCTCCAGGGGAATGGCCACGCTACAATCCCTTCTCCATTCTCCTCTCGGGATCTTGGGCATGCACACACACGCCCAGCGTGAGTTTTAAGCCACCAGGTCCAGAACTTGAACCACGGTCAACTACGTGGGAGTCCAGTGACATAACCATTATGCCATCAGATGGTCCCTCTAAGCCCTATTTTTAACAATAGTGCAACTCCAATCCTCATCTCCTTTTTGATCAGTTTTCAAATTTCCTAGGAACTTAAAATTTCTCTTTTGTAGTCTGTTTCCCCAGATCATCTACCAACCCATCTCTAGAATACCAAATACATACTCTTGTGTACTTCATACCTTTTGCACTTTACAATCACTAAACTCCAGAATCCTGCCTGATAATATAAATCGCTCAAAACCAAATACCTATCCAATTCTCTCAGCTTTCCAGCAATTTCCTCTCCCATGTTTTCTTTTCTATGGCCAAGGATCTCCTAACCTGGCACAAGTCATTCAATCCCAAAATTGAATGACCTAAAATTCCAAAGCCTGTCTCTTCAACAGCTCTCCTCCCTGTCCAGCAAACTGTTTCACCCAAAGCATGTTATTTGACAAGACCACTCCCAGTACTTCACAAATTCTGCCTCTTACACCAGAGCACAACTGCCTTCAGGCCTATTTGCCCGGCAAAAATCAACTGTACAAGTTTTCTCTTAAAGCTTCTTAGACCCTACCTCTGAAGCACTTCCATTCACCAAAACCTATTCCTAGTCATTTCTCAGTTTCTAAAGCCTGTAATTACTTCTCTGAACGCCTCCCTCCTCTCTCTCATCACTCCCGGGCTTTCTCCCCACGCTTTGTCAGTTCTCCCCTAAAAAAACCAATCTCTTAGTCACCGCAGTCCCACCTCCCTGAATTTGCTTCTGACACCTCTAGGAACTCCCTCTACAATCTTTTGGTCCCTTGTTTCCTCACCCCGGCCTCAACTTGTTCTAATATCTAGTTCTCACGATTTACTCCTCCCAAATCTTTCTCCCAGTTTTTCCCTTTAACTTTTCTCCCAGTCATTCTCCATTTCCCTCAACACTCCCTGGCAGATTTGTCCCCCACCTTGTCATCATTCTACTCCCTTTCCCTCAAATCCTTTTCATTCCTTCTTCTGGCGGTGCCTCCCACGTCCCTTAAATTATTCTATCTCCCCAGGCTTTGCTTCATTTCCTTTTCCCTTCAACAATGTTATTTGTCCTCCAATTTCCATTGACTTGGCGCCTCCCCTAGTCCTCAAATCAGCCTGCTACTCCGTCTAAACGTCTCCAGGCCGCCGCCAATATTTCCCATCGTTAGCCTCCCTGCCCGTGCCGCTCTAAACGCCAGAGATACCAGGCCAGGCCTGCCTCTAGGGAGCAGGGGTACGGATCACGTACCCCATTCGCATCTTGGATCCGCTCTGACTGCCCCCGCTGCCGGGTACAGGAGGGCGAGAGGGCAGGCGACCGAGGTGCATGCTTTTCTCGAGGGCCGACATCAAGGGAAGGCCGCACGTAGTCACACAGTAGCCCAAGCTTCGTCCCACGCTAAGTGCGGCCCAACCGATCACAGCCAGCACCCCTAACGACGCCCAGTCGCCTCTGGACAGCACCCAGCTCCCGGCAGCACCGCCTACCGCCCACCGGCTCCGCAAGCCCCACCCCCTCGCCTA